CCTTTCCATCCAAAAAATGAAATGAGCTCTTAAAGTTATTGAAAAAAGAATGGAATGATTTATCAAACTTATATTTTGAGAACATTTTGCAACAAATAACAACATTTGTGGTGCAGTAATCAAAGCTAGTGGAAGATATTTTGACGGGAGCAAAAATTAATCATATTTTTTTTTTCTTTTCGTGGTTAAAACTTTCACATTGAGACCATTCACGCATTTCACAATTGTGGACTTGTCAGGAGACTTTCTAATATTATCGAAATGGAGAGGTCGATCTCAGTGTGCGACACCTTTCCAAAGCCCCTGAAAACCATAACATATGAGTGAAATGAGGAAACCTTGGGGGCCGTCGATATCTGTACTAGTGATCGAGGGCTGGCCTTGTTCAAATTGTTGATCACCTTAGGTAACACGCTTCAATAGTTGCAGAATAAACCACAGCTCTGTGGTTACTGAATAATAATATTGGCTATCCGCCTTAGTAGACGAGTATCCTCCAATACAAGTGGCCAGCTATTTTAAGCGTAGTTTAGATGTCGTACAAGGCCGAAAATAGGAAGCATCCAGTGAGTATCTAACTAGTCAGTCGTAACTGATCTAAAGAGACAAGTTTGCTAAGCATTACACAGTCGAAGTGTCCCAATATTCTTCTATATCCCCAGACTTATAACGACTGTGTGTTGTATGGGGGACGTTCTAAAACACAAAAATAACCCTAAACAAAAAATAATATAAAGAAAGAAAGCATTCCGTTATTGAGCAATGTGGGACGTGCCTATATAGCTGTAAACACGTAACGAATACCTATTTTGACTTCAGAGATTCGTAGATGGACCCTCCTGGAATCACTCCAACAACTCATCAGTGGTTATCAGAAATTGCCTCTTCATACTTCTCGATTTTCCTTTTTTATATGCACTTTTAATTAGTGGCATTTTTTCCCCATAATGTATGTATGTGTGCGTGTGTGTGTGCGCGCGTTCACCCGTATGCGAGTATGCTTATTGGAAGAATGTTTTGTTTTACATTTTCTTTACATTTACATTTTCTTACATTTAAATATTATATATAATACCTATTTATTTAATCTGACAGACCATTTGGAAAAGTCAGTTTTGAAATGTTATTATATATGGTACGTGGATTCATGAAATATATCCGTTTCAGTACAGAAATTAATCAGTATTCATTGTCTCAACAACGTTACTATCTTAAGTCCACTAACTTTTATCACTCTTTCTAATAGAGTTTAATTTCCAAACTTTTGTTTAAGTTAGTATAAAAAGGCAGGATTTCAATTATATTTGGAAGTCTTCAAATGTTGTGCAATTTCTTATTTGGTAACACTTTTTGCGATTTTGTATCTTCAGTATATATGGTCTTACAATGAATGGAATACATTTTGGGAAGCCTTAAGCATGGAGCATAAAGTCAATGCGAACGATCCTTTCATTTAGCTCTATAGTATGTACTATGCCAATTTTGAATTCAAACTTACTTTCTTCTAAACTGGTTGCCACCCAATGCTTAAGAACCCAGTCTGTTCTTCTATGGGTAGAGAAGAAGAGGATTCATAATTTTCCCAAGTGTATTAGCATTTAGCAGTGAATGCAATGAATCCGAATAGAACTAGGCTCTTCGATTCCTCAATCCGAGCCACTATCCATTACTCCACAATTCCTATAAAAGGCCCCCTTCGCAAACAACAGTAGATTCGAAGATCCGTCTGCCAAAATGTAGTTTACGAGTAAATTCTGGTGAGTTCGACGAACCCATACAAATGGGTGTTCGGGCGTTGCAAATCACCAAGAAAATTTTAAACTTTGATCAATTACAGGGTAGTTTTGACGCTTAAATACATTATAAAGCATATTATAAGGACAACATTAGCTACTTCAATCCATTACCCTGTGATTTTATCACTATAATGGCGTTACTTCAAAGAGAAACACTTATAAAAAAAAGCTTCATCAGGGCCCACTGTGATACGATCCTTGAAGCTTAAGCTTCATCAGTTTCATCGTAGATCTGTCACTAGTGTCTTATCAAGTATAGTCTACTTTAAAATATCAAGTACTCATCTGTCAATTTTTAACTTCAGCAAAACTAAACTTCTCTCCGTTAATAAACTAAAAGAGCCATCTCTGCCTTCCATCAGCATGGCTGTTGATATCCTCCATGAAGGTGACTCATTGCGCTTTCTCGCGTTGGCTTTCTTAGCTGATATGAAATAGAAAGACTATATCGAGTCCATTAATAGCTGCTTACAAAATCGGTTCAATGCGTTGGACAGGACAATTATTCTCTCCTGAATATATCTTGCATATCTATATGCCTTCCATTCGTCCATGCTTAGAATATTGCCGCCATATATTGTCCGGTGACCCTGATATTTATCTAGAATTCTTTAATAAGTTCCACAGAAGAATCAGCAATATCATTGGTCCTGATCTGGCGGCTCGGCTTCAATATCTTGCCCACCGCTGTAAGGTTGCCTCTCAGTGCATTATTTATAAATATTTTCATGCTACTTGTTCGGATGTGCGTTTAGGCATGGTACATCGACTTTTTAAACTTAATCACAATACTAGACTGGAGGCGAGATCGCATTATTTTACACTTGAGCTTGTTAACTGTAACTGAAATTTCTAAGCTAACAGTTTTATTTTTCGCATTTCTCGGTTGTAGAATTTCATCCCGGCTCCACGCTTTTGAACCGACTTTAATCTGGAAGAATTTAAATGCAATACCAATAGCTATCTACTGTCCTCCTGATTATTCTTTTCGCTTTCTACTCATTCCCAATGTTTCTGTTTTCAATTACTCCATATTGTGTTGCTCCTTGCGTTTTAGTGGTTCTACTACTTTACTTGGGGTGACACTGATTAAAAACAAAAATTGAAGACATTCTTCCTAGAAATCGATTGTATATAGCGGTGTGTTTAGACATTTTGAAAGAGTTGGACAGCATGTGTGTCTATATTTTAGGAGACTGCTAAAAAACATTTTGTTACGCAAAGTTTTTGTTTTGTTTTCAAATGAGTGTTGTCAGGCCGTTGTTGGTCATGTGAATTCTGGTCTAGTTCAGAATAAGTTTAATTGTGTTAGTATAAACATTCACAAGACCCATTTCGTTGACCTCATTAGCCACATCCGTAGGCGATTCTCTCGGAAATTCAGCAAGCAATCTCCGGATAAAAAGAATAAACTTTGGTGTCAACTTGCTTGTTCGGCCTGGTCGCATCTGTACACTTAATGGGACTTAGCGCAATTTAGACAATACAGTTTTTTATTTAATTTCTTAATTGGAGTTATTTTTGTAACTGTTGTTCTCCAAGTGGAAATAAATATCATGTTCTTTGAAGTCGGAAAAGAATACTTCATGTAAAGTTAATAGTGAAGGAAAACTATACATTTACCAATTAATATTTTAACGTTGGATACAATATTTATTTATTATTTTTACCATTGTGTACTTAATATAAATGGAGTATTTTTTTTTATAATGGTGTATACAGTTCTGGAAGGCAATGTATTAATATTTTGACAGAGCAATGAAAGAACTATAGAAATTGATACCAACCTGCCTGCCACCTCAAATTTAGTCCATATGTAATTGTGAGATTTATAATAATTTACATGGATGTATAGTATGGGTCTCAGCATGGCGACATACAATTTTGAATTCGGCGTTTGCAACGATCGTTAGAAATACAAGTCTGGTCTTCTGAGGGTGCGACGTGATACTTTTTCCAAGAGTATTTGTGCAAAAGTGAATGTAACTACCTCGATCGGAATCCGAACTCCGCACACCGATTTTTTGTCAAGCGTGGGGCTTACTAGTTAAAATGAACAGTTGATTTCTCCACGCAAAGAAGGTTAATAAAGGGTGATAATAACAAGGAAACACACAGGTAATTAAAAAAAATGAAAATAAGGAATTTATTTAAGAATTTACACACTTGAAGTCTAGTCAGCAGAAAAATATATCTGAAATATTTAAAGTCTCTAGTTTTAACGTTTTGTCACAAAACTAATTAAATGATCTCACACAAAATAATATTCAAAATGTTTAAAACAAAGGTAAGAGAGTTCATTTTTCACAGAAAGGATATACGGTTAGATACTCTCAGAAGCAGACGAAATTAGTTTGAAATAATTAACTTTTTTTGATTGCTGAGAGAAAAGTACAACGAGCTTCCTTTAAAGCCGATAATATATTGATTTTCCAAGCGTAGCTTAGATGTAGCACAAGGACGAAAGTAGAGGGCGCCCAGTGAGGCTCGAACTCACTACTCAGTCGTAATTGTTCTAGCGAGAGAAGCTTGCTAACAATTACACCGGCTTGAGGTACCTAAGTCCGGTGATATAATTGGCGAATCATTTTACACTGGGAAGAACTTGAACGCTGACCGCTTGTTGTGAGAAACTGAAACGAAACCTTTCACATAACTTAAGAATCTCCTCTCTGATTACTTTAATTTTCCTCCTCATTTTGTATAAAATGGAATTTTGCATACGATCTCTACGTCTAATTTCTGTGAAGACAAGGTTTTCAGTGGTCCAAAAACAATTTTACATAGGCTCGCGATTTTTTTTTCTTTTCAGCTCAGCGGTCACTTTTTGAGAAGGTAAAGTTTTCCTTGGTCGAAAGACTATTTCACATAGGCTCACAAATTTATTTGCATCTTTTTCCTCGGTTCTCCGAATTTGAAGGAAAATGGGTAAAGGGAGTTTTTATTATTTCGCATTCACTACACACTAACCATTACGCTAACTACTTACTGCTGCATATTCTACGAAAAAGAATAAAAATCCTGATTTTGTTTGGATTAGATTAAAAATAAATTTCTATTTAAAAAAAAATATCATTTGTGGAATCTACTGTTGTTTTTAATTTTGTATAAAATCATTTTATATGGATTGTTATTTTTTTTTATTAATATTAGTAGTAGATAAGATATTATTAACTTCCATCGTCAATGAATAAATAAAGGAAACTAATTGCTAATGATAAATGCCACATACGCAAAAGAAAGAAGACAAGCAACTTGGAAGGCCACAAAAAGAGAGGAAGGGGAAAATGCATGGGGAAGACGAAATGAAACATAATAGATAAACAACAGTATTACGAATAGAATAGAAAAAAAGAGAGAACAAACGTGAGATAAAATAAAATGGCAAGGATGAATAAAGAGAGGCGAAAAAAAACAAAAAAAAATAAGGGCGGAAAAAGCGAAGAGGAAAGCGAAGAGAGAATAAATTCCGTCAAAAAAGGGAATGGGAATGAAATATCTAAAGAGATGCAATTAAAACCATCGGTCAGATTCAGTTTCATTGATTTTTTTTCCACTGCTACACTTTTACGGAAATTCTTTGAAAGGTCATGACCCAACACCCGACAAACGAAGAGAAATCATACCCGTTTGTCCTTCACTTGCTCCGTCCAAAGCCAACTATAAACTAACAAGAATAATAAGATCACAATTTAAAAAGAAAAAGAATTACGAAAACTGTAATTTTTTTTCCTGTGCTTAAAATATTGCCGTTAATATTAGAAGATTTAAAATACGAATTTCTAGAGATTTTTTTTTCCCTGAACGATATCTAAATTATTTAGGAATTGGGGTAGTTTTAAAATTTAGAGTTATCGCCCATTACAATAATAATAATAAAATAATAATAATAAAAATTACCATAATTGAGTACATTTTTTTAAAGAAAAACGATTAGTTATGCACTTGTAAATTATATTCTAAATTTAATTTCAGATGCGAATATTGAAAGTGGAATCATATAAGAGGATCTGTCACGATGTTTAGGGTTAAAATATCCGGGTTTTCTTAGTGATATTCACAGATATATATTATATCAATAATTAGGTCGTTAGAGAATTTTCCTACGCATATTATCGTAATAAGCGGCTTATGTCTTATGCCAACTATGTATATATCGATATTGTTCAGTTATTACTAAAAATATAAATAATGCTTAGCCCTATATAGGATGAACACATTTTCAATAGAATCAGTTTTAATTCTTTACTAATTTACTTTTCAGTGAGTCAAGCACCTTTGAAATGCAAATTAACTTTCCACAATAAGAAAATTAAGCTGTTTGTACGTGTATCGTCTGTTTTTCTAAGAGAAAACAGGCGCCGCGTTAGACTCTTGCTTATTTTTTTAGTATCTGTCTATATTTCTGAAATGAGGTATTATGTACATTATTTACAATTGTCCGAATAATGTAAATAATGTTATTTTCTTTTTAATTTAAAAGATATTTTTGTTACATTGAATTTTATGGGAAAAAAGCTGCGTTTGTTTTTCATCCAAAACCAATCAAAATTTTTTTCCCTCCAAATTCCGAGAAGTGAATTCGGAGCCTAACTACAGGTTATAAAAGTGGGCCTTGCACTTAGTTGAAGGTGTCGACGAAAATCTGCTGCTGGAACTCAGGTCGTTCCGGCCCAGAAAGAAAAACATTACAGAGGAAATTTGAGAGCCAGCAGACGAGAAGTGATAGAACATCAAAGTCGCTTCCACAACAAGGACATTTCTTCGTCTGGTGTGATTGTTCTATTATTCGGTCTTACCACGAATTTGCTTTGAAAATTTTACCAATTCTTTGAAAACTGTTCAAATAAGTATTTTCTCCTTTTCTACATTTTATACGTAGTTTTCCTTTCTGATGAGCTTTTGCAGCATAATAACGTTTATTTTCATTTGATTATTTTTACATATATGCCATCATTTAGTACACAATGCATTTAATTTGTGTAATTCATTCTTTATTTTGTATGCTAACAATAAATTTATCGTTTGTTCTTAAATTTGACTCGTTTCGTCTGCTTTGTTGTGTGCGCATATAAATTAAATGTTAGCTCAAACATTTGTTTGAACTATTTTCTCCTACGGGTTTTTACCAAATAAAAATATCCTTTATTTTGCACAAATTAAATTGTTGAATGTGCTACACTTTAACACAGTTCAATTAATTTGAAAGTCAGAGCTGTGGCTGTTTATTTGGATAATTAAAATATCTGCACTGTTTTTCAAAAGGCACAACGAAACGAGTTTCAAACTATTCTGGGAAATAACTGTAGAATAATATACCTGTTTATTTTTTAAAATTGATATATAAAAAATACTTGGACTTGTAACATAGAGTCAAATTAAATTTAAAATTCAAAGGTATCTGGACGGCTTAAATACTGAGCAGAGTCTTAGTAAGGATTATATTTAATATAAAATATATATTGTTAAATCTTTTGACAATATAGAAAATATAAACAACCAAATAGAAAGACTGTATGACGATAAAAATTTTCTGACGGAAGCACAATTTGAAAGGGGTGTATTCAAGGACCTCACTGAAATCAAACATCTTATCAAAATGGAAGGTGATGAAGTTGATACCAACAAAAGTATCTAACAAAGCTCTGCCTTTTTTACGGAATGTCACGTATTGATCCAGATAATATATAAGACGGTTTTAACTTTAATAACTAATATGTATTCTATGTAATCACATTCATTCTTAATGCTTTTACACAAAAGTGCGTCCTCAAATCGAATATTATACAAGGAATATTTCAGTTGAATATTTATTCTCTACATTACAGAAATATTTACCAAAATTACACCAAAATATCTTGAAATATTATTCAATAAAATTGCCATTAGCTGCAAGCACGGCCTCCAGACGACGAATGTTGTCATATTACTTGTCTTCAGTACTTTTGTGTTAGAAGTTGTGTTTGGTCTCTCGCAAAAATATGCCCCACATGCAATAATCAAGGGGTTTGCAGTCCAAGGAGTTGGGTGAGTAGATGTAAGTGGCGATGTGAGTCATGCTGCCAGACATGGTTTTCGAGCAGCCATTCTATTGAACTAGGGCAACACCACTTCCTCAAGGTACGTTATGTAGGCCTTCGTATTAAGTCTGAGACGCTATGGGAAGATGAATGGAGATATAACATCTCCATCACTACTGATCACGCCAAACACCTTCGTAATCCATGTCTTTCTGAATTCTCTGCACTGTCTTCAGATAGATACAAAAATACTCTGAAATGTTCGTATTGGAGCTTCCGGCGCGATTGCCAAGCAGAACAACATGCCGCTTCGAAATTTTGGCGGAGGGAAATTTGCTTCATGGTGCTTTTTTTCTCAGACGGTTCATCACTGCACTTTGCAGTCGACGAAATAAAAAAAAAATAACAACGTGCATTCGTGAAATTAAAAATATAAAATGGCGACAATTTAGTCATCGCACTCTATATATGTTTTTTTTAGAAATGAGAAAATAACAATTCATTAAATTATGCATTACATGCGTAAAAATTCGATTTCATAGCGAGGTGAGAACATTTAGAGTGATTGCTTATATCGATCAACAACCAGAAAGTCATTATATTTTCTCATTTATAATTTTTTTTTTTTTAAATATAAGTGTATATTCCTTTTTAATGTTTCTCGCCGGTTTTCGTTTTCTTGCACAATAATTGAAATTGTTCTTAGATGTCTGTGGTATTTTTGCTTTATTAATTTTCCTCCTGATTTTTTTTTTTTTTTTTTAACCTAGTAGCTGTAAATGAACGTTTGGCGAACGCGTTCGCTAGTAACAGTCGGAAAGAAATCTCAGCCTATTTTGATCTTTTCTCATTAGAGCTGACCTTTTCGCCCAACACACCTCGGCTCAACGGATTCGGATACCTTGAATCGGACTGCGCGTGATCTTTTCTCTGATTCAGTGAACTCGGAGTTACTTCTCTTCAGTACCTCACTTTCTCTTAGATTCATTTCTTTCTACTATTATTTTACTTTTATCATTTTCTCAAGTTTGCTTTTCCTATTATGCGTCTATCTTCCTGCTTTTTTAATCGATATTTTTTGTAAATTTTCTAGAGTTAGAGATATTTCTATTAAATATTAGTTGATGTTTAAGGTGGGAAATCGTCTTCATTTGAATAGAAACATCTGTTAATCGTATCCTTGTTCTAAACCTCTTTAATCTAAGTTAATAGCATCGTTACTAGAAATTCTGCAATATTGCATTGCAAACGGCCAACCACCAGCTTACACAATATAAATGATCTGAATTCTTAAATCGCATGGAAATTTTCCGAGGATTTAAGTAAATCCAAACGTCGTTCATTGTTATGGATTTTGACTTCAATCTTTTAAATTAAATCGTGGAAACACTCACATCTTGGAAACACTCACATCTGGAAGCACTACATCGTGGAAACACTCACATCTTGGGTATATTTAAAAGTCTGTCATTATAGATGGAAAATATTATCTTCATTTTTGTTGTTGTTATGGCAATGCCTTCCGCAATTTAATCCAGTGAGTCATTGTTCCGTATGCTAATTTGCTCAAGTGAACTGTAGTTTTAAACTTAATCTGTTTGTCGCCATTTGTTTTTTCTGTATTAGCGCCTCGCATGTTATATTTATTTATATGCTAGGCCTAATAACGAAATCATCATAGCCTAGCATATGCGCTAGTATCCTTTATTTTACCAATATTAATACACATCTGCGGCAGGCTGGTGTGTACAAGAGCCGAAACGTTGTCATCGCAAAAAAATGAGGAGGAAATTATATAAATAGAATATAAATAGTGTAAATAAAGATATTTCTTCTGAACTTTAACGTTTCACATTATCTAAAACACTAAACTTGAAAATATATTATTTAATTTTAATGTATTTCATATGACGATTTAATATCATCCTCTAATTTGCTTATGCCTATATACTTTTCTCAGTTTTATAGTTAAATATTCACTTTTGAACAAGTTTATTAATTCCTTTCAATTTTTTAGTCCTTGTAATTAAGATGTAGTCGCCGATAACCATTACGCTATATCTGTGCTGGAAGAATTGGTATGCCAGTTTATTTAGTCATTTGTCATAAATAAATTCCGAAAGGTTATCTATCTATAAACATGCAAATATATAGATAAAGGCTAACAGATTAGCCGAAATCGCTAAGATGCACAACACATTTGGACAGTTTTTACACACAAAGGAAAGGAAATCTTGTACGAATGGAAAACAATGAAAGTTTAATCGCAGGGCCTTATCAGTAGTCTTCAATAAAAGTTGTGTCAATTTTTTTAATCATTTCATCCCAAGCAAGGCAATAAAGCCAATTAAAACGCAATTATTAAGGAGAGAGAATAATAAAAGAACAGGAATTAAGAGGACAGAAAATAAGGATTGAGATCACATTTACACATTCGAAGATCAAAGTTGACTGGAAACATGAAGTTAGAAAAGAATTG